CGCGGATGCCTTCACTCATCCCTCCATCCTGTAGCTCTCCAGCTGCTAATAGCCTCTGGGAAGATGCCAAGGGTCTCTCTGCCTGAAAGAGCTGCTTTCAGGGCCTGCTGGCGAGGCCCCCTATGTCGCCGCTCTCCAGCAGTTAGTGAGGGGGGAGCGAGCAGTTGCTGGTGGGGACAGGCTGCTGCGTGGGTGTCCTGCTGACATGTTTGGAGCGGGACCCACCACGCGTTGCCGTGCAGTGATTCATGAGCAGCAGGGAGAGGGAGAAAGACTCCCTTCTTCCCACATTTAGGGGCAGGATGAGGGCGGGAGAGGAATGTTCTTCTTAGGAAGGATGTGGACCCATGTCCCTCCTAGAAGAAGGGGGTCCCCTGCAGCTGGACCTCTCTGGGGCAAAGCCAGCTTTTAATGCCTGCTGCAGCACTACCAGATACCCGAGTCATGGTCCTCAGTGCCTGAACTGCCAGCCTTCCTGCTTCCTGCTGCAGCTGCTGGGAGCAATGATGCCCCCAACACAGCCCTGCAGAGCAGCAGGACTCCCTGCATGGCCAGGCCAAGCCAGGATCCACTCCGGAGAGCAGCTCGGGGCAGCTGGGCTGATCTGAGCTCCCAAGAGGGCTGTCTGTGCCCTGCCCCTGTTTGTCCGTCTGTCCTGATGCATCGACCCATGTCTGCCTATCTCTCCCAGAGCCTTGTGCCTGCCGGTGTCGGTTGGTCAGTCTGCACCACTGTGCCGCACTGTGCCGGTTTGTCAACCTCCCTGTTTGCGGTTGCTCCTGTCTATCCATCTTTCTACCTGCCACCTGCCACTGCACACACTGCCCTGCCTGCCTCCCCCCTCCATCTGTCTATCTGTCTGTCATGACTAGATTTTCTCCTCCACACTCTCTTCCTCTGCTTTGGAAGCAGTCTGGAGGGGACCTTCCTCCATCTCTGCATTAAGCGTGACCTGGGAGCTGGAGCTCTCTGGCTCATGGATGGCAGCCAGGCTGCATCTGCAGTGAGGCTCCATCCAGCCGGGAGAACTTCCGCAAGGAGCCTCCTGCAAATACCTAGGCAGGAAGCTGGCTGCCAGCGCTGCCCAGAAACTGCACAATCACGCCTGCCTCCACAGCACCACCAGCCAGAGATTTAAAGGGAGCTGCAATCATTTGCAATGGGCCTTGGGCAACTGCATGCTTTCAAAAGCCTGCCCTTCCAGCTTGAATTCCCTTGTTGCCTACCCTCACATAGCTGGGGGCTGTGGAGGAGACGCAGCTCACAGATATGTGTGGCTGAGTGAGTGGCTGTGGACACATGTATGTGCACATTGTTATATGCTATGTTTGGATGCAGACCTGCTTGTCTTTTTTGGAACCGTGGCAACATGACAACATGCATGAGGTGCCTGCGTGCTTGTGTTGCCTTGCAAAGTCATGTTAGTGGTGGCTTTCCGTGTCGCTTTGCCACACGGATGGCAGTGTAAATGCTGTTGTTAGCCAGCTGTCAGTCTGTGCCATCCACAGTCAACAGTGTAGTCATGTGCAGGTAGTACAGCTGCATTTAATGACCACAGTCTGGGTCCATTTGACATCCAGCTGCCACAACAGATAGGACCAGGCCTTTGCCCTCTTCATGGCAGCAAGCTGACCCCCTGGGAAGCCTGCTCTGCACTCCACAGGCATCACGAGACCCCCAACCAGCCTGTGTCTCAAGCCCCGTTTGGGGCAGCATGCCCACAGCCCACTTAGTGAGAGAGCAGCCAGAGCCAGGATTTATTGAGTTAGCAAAACTGCCCCTGCACAGCCAGCTTGCAAAACCTCAGGACTCGAATGACACCTGGGATCGGGTTCTGCTGGAGCAGAATATGACTTTTCATATCAACTTTCACAGTGCCAGCCATTTTTGTGGAGCCTAGTCAGGGGGTGGGGGGCGGTGAAGGCAGGGCAGGCCATCCTGCATCCCTCTGCTCCTTCCTGGAGCGCCTCAGGGCCAAATCCTGGGGGAGATGAGCTGCCCTCCTCTCCTGCCATCTTTGCCTTGCCTAGGGGCAAGGAGGGGAGTCTTTTGCCAGGCTCTCCTCTGAGGTTTTCCCGTGCAGAAGCAGCTCAGCTTTAGCCCCTTCCCCACCATGTGACTGATGATGGGAGCCTGTGAGGCACAAGCCCTCACTAAGGTCCTCACTGCCACCAGCGCTTGGCCTAAAACACGAGGCATGGAGCCATGGGCATCACGGACAGGGCTTCAGCTGCACGCTCTGCCGTTCCCTGCGTGGGGGGATCTTTGCTATATGACTCTTTGGTGAACGGGATGGAGAGCGGTCCAGCTGAGAGCCTGAGCCCTGCGCCTTTGGAGAGGGGGGCTGTGCCCCCCCACCCCTTCCCCAGCAAAGCCCAAGCCCGGCTCTTCTTTTCGCTGCCAAACCGCCCTCCTTCCTCTTGCTGGGGGAGGATGGCGGTGGGCAGCT